ACTCACGGTCGCCGCGACGTCAAATACGAGGAGCTTAAACTCGAAGAATTCGTTGCCGGTTATGGCCAGATCCTCTTGTCCCCAGATTTATCTGAGGTGGAACGTTCTTCCCGTCTTAAACATCTGGTTTCGCTAATGTATTTTTCCCAGCTTTACGAATGGCAGGCTGTTTTGAGTTTTCACGGCGCAGTTCTGTTAGAGATCGAACGTGGATTGCTCCAATGGGGAGATTCGTTTCTACCTTTAGAAAGCCGTACTTTGTATGGTCATCTCAAGGCAACCAAGCCGTCCGCGAGCGCTTCTTCTTCCGCGAACCGTCCGATTCTGTTTTGTCGAGATTACCAAAGACAGACGTGCAAGTTTGAACAAGATCACTACGGTTTGCTCCGCGGCGAGAGGAAATGGCTCCGTCACATTTGTGCCAACTGTTGGGTCAAAGGACGTACACAAGCTTTGCACCCGGAGGGATCGAAGGAGTGCCCTCTTTCCACTAACTCCGGGGCAAAAAACTAGGTTCATCGAGCACCTTCGTTCATCCTACAAATTTTCCTGATGAAGGTGCTCTCTACAGTGATTATTTCGTTTCTGAGGTTTTTGAACATGACGTTTTAGGTACGAGACTAGAACATTTTCAGTATGATAGTGCGAAACTTCATGTTTCTCCTTTTGTTGATGATTCAAGACTTTCGGGTTTTTCGTGTCAGTTTCCGGGAGCACGTTTCTGCCCTTCAAGTTCTTCGTTGAGGCTCAGTTCTCCCTTTCCCAATTTTCTCGACGTGCATCGCTCCGTGGCTCTTACTGGTGAGCCGAATTATCGCGTGGCACGGATCCCGGTTTTCTCTGCGTTAAATATCGCTAAGTGGCGTGAACTCCTTCCGCATTATCCGGATAATGTTATTTGCGACTTTCTTGAATTCGGCTGGCCTATCGGTTACATGTCTGATACTTTGCCCATTTTTGATCTTCGCACACATCGGGGCGCGTTGACCTTTCCAGACCAAGTTAATGCGTACCTGTCTAAAGAAGTCCAACTCGGCCGCATTGCAGGGCCTTTTAACAAGGCTCCGTTCATGCAGGGGTTTGTGCTCTCCCCTCTCAATACCGTGGAAAAGCGGGATTCCGAGGAGAGAAGGGTTATCGTGGATTTGAGTTGGCCGTCCGGTCATTCAGTAAATGATGGTATTCCTAGTGACTCGTATTTGGGGGCACCACTTTCATTACGCTATCCTACAATCGATGACATTGTGGATGCCGTTGTTACTTTGGGCCGTGGTTGTTATTTGTACAAGCGTGACCTTCGCAAGGCGTACCGCCAGTTCCCAGTGGACCCCAAAGATTATCCTTTTCTGGGATACACTTGGAACAAACAGTTTTATTTCGACACCGTTCTCACGATGGGATTGCGCTCTGCCGCTATGGCGTGCCAACGCTCTACTGCTGCTGTTGCCTGGGTCTCATCACAACAAGGACGCGTGGTGTTTAACTATTTAGACGATTTCATCGGCGTGTCCCCGGCCTTTAACGCACAAACGAATTTTCAGGCACTTAGCGATTTATTGTCTTCACTCGGGTTACACGAATCTTCAGAAAAAGCATGCCCGCCCTCTCCAGTTATGATTTGTTTAGGTGTCGAGTTGAACACAGACGCATTAACTCTTTCGGTGAGCCCTGGGCGACTCTGCGAACTTGAACAATTGCTGGAGCAATGGATTCACAAACGAACAGCAACGAAGGCTGCCCTTCAGTCTCTCGTGGGAAAACTGATCTTTATTTCCAAGTGTGTGCGTCAGAGTCGCATCTTTATCGCCCGCATTCTCATTCTTCTACGTAAGGGTCTTTTCAATCATCATCATGTCAACTTGACCGCGGAATTTCGCAAGGATATCGCGTGGTGGCGCCGTTTTCTCAGAGCTTATAATGGCGTCTCAATTATTTCTACAGCACAATGGTCCTCTCCGGGCGAAGTGTTTACTACCGACGCATGTTTGACGGGCTGCGGAGGACTCTGTGGCGACTAATATTTTCATGCAGCTTTTCCGTCGTTCGTTGTTCAACAAACTCTTGACATTAATTGCCTTGAACTGTTGACCATCATTGTCGCCTTGAAATTATGGGGTTTGCGGTGGTCCGGTTTACGTTTAACAGTACGTTGCGATAACGCGGTGGCCGTGACTGTACTCAATACTGGATGGTGTCGGAACTCTTTCCTAAACTCATGTTTGCGCGAACTTTGTTATCTTGCCGCTATTCACGAATTCGAAATTCGTGCTGTTCACGTTCCTGGTGTCTCAAATTGCTATGCAGACATTCTTTCGCGCTGGGACTCGAACAACCTTGCGGGAAGAACTGAATTTTTAGCCCACGCGCAACACGTCAATTTACAAGCTGTACCTGTCCCTGATGATATGTTTCAATTTGACAATGATTTCTGACCCAGCCTTTTATCGTTTTAGGCTATCCAGAACTTAGGAGGCTTCGCCGGGATCTTAAACATTCTCAGCGATCTGCTTACAGCTGTGGGACGTATAGCAACTTACGCACTCTATTCAAGGCTTTCTTTTTGTTTTGTTTTTACTTTAAACTAACCCCAGTCCCGGCTGAGTTAACGACGGTTTGTCTATATGTCCAATTTTTAAGTCGTACCTTAACCCCCCTTCTATTCGTAATTATTTAAGTGGCGTTAAGTTGCTGCATTTATTTTCGGGCGCGGATTACCCGTTCACCAAAGGTTTCGTCCTCTCCCTCACTTTACGCGGTATTGCTCGCCGAGCTTTCCACACACCGCGTCGTGCACCGCCGGTTTCTCCCTCTCTTTTGCTTCGGCTTTCATCGTTTCTTTTGTTGAACGGTGATCCACGCTCGGCTACTTTATTATGCGCCTTTTTGTTTGCCTTTTTCCTAATGGCTCGTCTAGCTAATATCGTGCCGCCATCACTCTGGCAATTTGATCCCCGCCGTCACCTGACTCGGGGTGATGTGGTTTTTACCGCCCATGGGCTTTTTGTTACATTTCGGTGCACAAAAGCAATTCAGTTTGGTGAACGATTGCTTCATATTCCTTTACTTAGTATTCCTGGCAGTCCATTATGTCCTGTCAGCGCATATCGCCGTATGATTGAGTTGATTCCCGCTCACCGCTCCTGCCCGGTTTTTCTTTTACCGGGTCCCTCGGGTGTAGTGCCGCTTACTAAGCGCAGTTTTGTTTCACAGTTTCGTACGTGTCTCTCTCACATCGGTGTTCCACATGCCGACCGTTACCGCGGTCACTCCTTTCGACGTGGAGCGGCCTCTTGGGCTTTTAGTTGCGGCGTACCCGGCGAGTTAATACAATTGTATGGCGATTGGTCCAGTGACTCTTATAAGCTATATTTCGAGTTTAGCCTTAAATCCAAGCTCGCTCTCGCGACGCAATTACGTTCTGCCATTGTTTCTTTGCCGCTGTAATTTCTTGCACTCGTTCCAGTTATCGTTCTTTCAGTTTGTTTTTGGCCGATTTTGGTGGCAGAGAGGTTTATTTCGCTTCCTTGTTTGTTACTGTTCGGTCCTATTTCATTATTCTAGGATCTAGCTGAATAAACTTCTCTCTTGGCCAAAAACAGATTGTGTTGTTGTTGTGTTGTTGGCGGGGGGAATTTTGATTAGATGGGAGAACATTTTAGGATTTCACCTAGAGCGCCGTTCAGCGAAATGTAGCAGAACAATTTACCACAGGCATCCCAAATCTGTTAACCAAGGCTTATTTATAATAGTTCGTTAATTTACTAAAGTAACAGAAGAGAAAGTGTTGTGGCAAAGTTTCATGCTTTTTTCATTAATTTGAACAATTCAGTGTTTTTTTTTTGGTCGATAACAGCTGGACTACACGAGGAGGCACAAGCACTATGTTTTCTCTTCATCATCATTTCATTTTATTTATTTATTTATTTTTTGTTACCCACGGTATTCCTTAGTTGCTGCCAAAATAATTTCCGTTACCAACACAAAGTAAAAGCTATAGAATGTTTAAGATCATCCAGAAACCAGCGTTTGCTTAAGGACTGCCCACCCTGCACATGATTTTCTCTCCAGGTCTTTCTTACTTAAGCTTTACTGAGGAAAATTCGCCTCAAAAGACAAAACGGGAAAATTTATCATTTAATAGATTCTCGAGTTTCCTGTAGACATATTTAAAATTCACAATCAAATTCACAATATCACTGACTAGGAGCGTCATCTGGTTTTTGGGTTTTGCTTGAATAAAGATGTGTAGAGTAATACTTATTTTTGCATTTCACCTGTGCGCCTCCGTGGCAAACACTTTTGATTACGATTTTTGACACGGTCATGCTACTAGAATTGCTTTTTGGCCGAAAAAGTTTAACTACTATGTTCTAACTATTTTTGGGAAATCACGCTAAAAAACGGGCACTACATGTACTAAAACATCAATCTGTAACCAATAGAATCCGAGTCTATTTTAAGGTTTTCCACTCTTTTACTAGCGACAAAAGGACACAAGATCAATCAGTTCAGTATTCAAAGACGCGGATTTTAACTGTTCCATGTTCCAAGAGCAAGACATTGTCACTGGTAGAAAATTTTGAGCTCGATGATCACTTAATGCCAATGAATATTCGAATGGTTTTCTCCATTTCTAGTCTAAAACAATGTAGTTTTTAGGAGAACAAGAACGATGGCTTTCGAGGGACCACTGCTGTTTCTGTTGCACAAAAGCTAAGGGGCAATTAATCACAATTCAATCTTTTTTTTGGGAAATATTTTAAAACTTTGTTTGATATAGCTGAGCTCGTTAATATTTCATTAGAAAACGACTGAAATATCCTTGTATATTGAAGTATACGAGATTTGGGGATGTCTACATATCTCTTTAATAGTTTAAATGTGTAGTTACTGTATATTTAGGTCTTTTTCACGACCGTTTGCCTGGACTGTTTTGTCGGAATAAAATGTCTCCAAGGTGAAACAAGCGTGGTTTACGGACTTTAAATAGCAGTGTAGTTTTATTGCACCAATATGTACCCTATGGCTTTGATACTCTTGGGTCCATTATCTGAATCTTCTCTTGCCTCGTTTCCACAAGATTTTGCGTCATTAGGGTGACTTCCCGTACCAAATCCAATGAAAGAGTTGCACGAGTGGCAGTCGTTCCCATTATTGCTAACAATACCAATTCTGACTTTAGAACGATCAGTTCGACCACTAAAGGCATTGAATCCTTCCTTGTTACAGTTGCGCTGTAAAGAGGCGTTGCTGCCAATCAACTTTTTCCACTCGTCACGACCCAGCGACGTGCTTCGGTATTGGCCATCAGCAATTATTGAGTGCAGAGAGTCAGCCAGCTTGTTGACAACAATAAATCTGAGCTGTTGGTTGATCTTCATTCCAAGACAGATCTTGGAGAAGGATGTGTTCCAGTAGGTGGGTAGCTTTGATTCTTGTTCGTCAAACCCAGTCTCTCCTCCTGAAGGGTTGTACTCGTTTTTATCAGTCCAGTAAGATTTTTCAAAACGGAAGGTTTCCTGTAAAAGGATAAGAGCTCATTTGTTCTCGTTTTTTAAATAATATCAGTAATTACAATAACAAGCAATTTGACCTTTAAGTTATCTGTTGCTTCAAAAGAAAGCTGTTGTTTAGTCGATCTGATCAAAACCATAAGATAAGATTCTAGTCAGGATCACTAATTATAACTATAAAATAACCACACTTTGTTAAATGGATATTTAATGATGCATTAATTTTTTTTCATCGTAATTACTCCAATAACCTGCATGGTAACGGAAGGTGGTCTGAAATAGAGAAGCAATTAATTTTTTAAATTTTTTTCTCCGAATTGATGGGTTTTCTGCTGTCGACGTCCTGTAGTGGATCTGCTTTTAACCGAATTATGATCCCGATGCTGTATATTTTTTATCTAGCTGCTACATGATACCAGAGACAAATATGTTAAGATAATTAAGACATTCTTTTTCAGTCACTACACACAAGTTTTGAAATTTGAAATTAGACGAAAATACTGACAAATTTTAACCATAAGTGTTAAAAAAGAAAAAAAAAAAGAAATTAACCGTTAACATCTTTTAATCGCAACGGAACTGATAGCCGTAAAATAACATAAATAAGAAAGACCGAGTGAGGACAATATGAATTATGGTAAAATATCATAGCTTATTTTAAGAAAATACGAAAATAAGAAAGGACTGAACAAACTGAAACAAGGATGAGAATATTGATGAAAAATATCATTCAGCAGACAGTGCAAGCAAAGTGTTGTTCATAACTGGGGCCCAAGAAAGTGCATGGAAATGCGACCTATTAATATGTTTTTCCCAAAACGCAATGCTACGAAGATTTTTCGAGTGAGCCATTAAATTGCTATTGTTCTTAGGTCATGAATCACCAGTAAAGTTTCTCAGTAAAGTTTTTCAGTAAACTTTGTTAGTAAATAAATATTTTCTATTTTTAATCTAGCTCGCTTACCATTGCGTGACAATCTCAGAAAAACAGGAAATCAACGATGCAATAAGAACTTTCTCCGAAGAAATGAGTCACAGCATTTTATTTCATACGACAATGTTAGAACTAGTTTTTTAACCTGTGCGATGCTTACTTTGTATTTCTTTCCTGTTTTTTTTTCTCATAATAATTTTAAAGCATATCTTGAGAAATACAAATTTTGACCATTGAGTAATTTCTGTGGGTACTCAAGATCAACTTCAGGAATTAATCATTATTCATTTTCTTCTCTGTATTCAGCTAAACTGACTTTGTCAATAGCTTTTTCACTCAAACCTTTAAAAACCATCAGTTGAAAGATACCGACTCTTAGCCCAACTTTATAGCTTATTAGGATTACTTAATTAATGCACATTCGTACACGAAAATGTCATATTTCTTCAAAGTACTATCTGTGCGTTGATAACTGAATATTTTAACGACAATTCTTCATATACTATAGGTGGATAAAGCTAATTTTCTGTCTTAACGACGAATTCTTATTATTAAATAAAACGTTTCCCAAAAAAAAAACAAAAAAAAAAACCAATACTCGAACCAAAGTTAAACAAAAATTAGATGTAAGTCATACTGAAACTAACCTTGTGATCCGAAAGCCCTTTGTATCATAAAGCAGAGCTCCAATAAGAGAAGGGATACAGAAACAGAATACATGATACAGAAAACGATTAGAAAAATTCTGGTCAAGAAACGAATTCTATACTTAATATTACTTATCATGACAAGGGAAGTTTGAAACAATGGAAATTAGGCTGTCGCTGGTTAAACCAATAGTAGTCAAATTATTTCGCATGTCAGCTGTTGTGCCTTAGTTTCTGCCAATAAAAATGTTTGTTTAGAATGCTACTCGGTTCAGCAATAATTTGCCTGTCAATTGCCATAATTAAGTTTTGTCACATCATTTTGAGGCCTGACATGCTATCATGAAAAATTCATATATAACAGTTATGATTATGCAGCGGTGTAACACGTCAGCAAATTCACCTCCACGAAATCTTTCATATCCATACTTTCGTCCCATTTTAGGAATGATAAACCAAATTTGGTAAATGATAAGCACACTGATATTTAAACCGTTTGTGCTGAATTAGGATAAATTGGACCTGAAAGAATTGTTTTAGGTCATGAACCTTCCTACAATTTTATATTCATAACAAAATCGATAAGACGTTTAGACCGGTAAAGCTCGCAAAAGTTCTATGTCATAATGTAATTGACTAAATTGGCTCGTCGTTGAAAATGCGTGCGTTAACTAAATGGATAGATGTAAGCCTAGTTTGTTAAAATGAAGAATTCATTTGATGGTTTGCTGGGTTATCGTTTTTGCACATGCACAACAGGTGGCATTGTGAAACTTTGCCAAATTATCATGCAACCACTGTTTATTTTGGTGGTGTTAAGAACTTCCTGTGTGTCATGATATTCGTGATGGATAAGTTTTGATTATCATGGAGCCTTGTTACAAGCTAAGTCAGCCAATTCACCTCCTCGACACCTTTCATATCCATATTTCTGTGAATATTTCCGTCTTTCCTTTTTTTGCGCTGAAAGATGTGTACAACAGCTGGGATTGTGATGCTTTGTTGAATTACCTTGACAATGTTTATTTTGGTTCTCTGGTAAGAACTTCCTGTGAATCATGTTCCTTCTCCATTATTTACTGCTCTCGTCTGACAATAAAGGTAATTGGAGGCAATGAATCAGCAGAAATTCATTTTCACAAGTTCAAATCAGCTTTGATATCTACACAAGTTTTTACAGTAATACACGGTCTGACTTCTTATCTTCATTATCAAAAACTGGAATGATGTTGAGGTAGAAATTGCTAACTTTTTCTTGTAATTATTATTATTATTATTTTTATTATTATTGTGATCATTTTTAGTCTCAGGAGGGAGAAGTCCTACTTCGTAAGCCCTTAGCTTTTTTTTACCAATTTAATTATCAAAACAAGCACCTCTTTCGGACTCTACAAGCAAACGTTCACTTATCGATAAGAAGTTCTAACGAACGAATTTGATTAAGTAAGTCCGTTATATTCCGATTTTGTAACGAGTAGGAAGACAAAAAAAGAAATGAAAAGGTGGATTTTCAATTATCATAGAGTGCCATAGAAAATTAAAATGTGTTTCCGTTTATGGGAAGTTACTTCAACATCGTGGTGGCGCACACGTTAAAAAATGACCGTACAAAAAATATTGAAGGAATATTTCTTTGCAAATGAAATCTTTGAGGAGAATCAGTTGACTTTTCTTTCTATTAGTGGTAGTCTTTTGGCATACCTTCAATGAATTTACATTACTTCGTGTTTTCCCTCTAAAAATATAAATGTTGTCAAAATAATGTGCTCATGTTTCTTACTTTGTTTTGATCACTTTTATTATTAAAGAGGTTATTTATATTCCTTTCGAGTTAAAAGCAGATAGAGCAACAAACCTGTCTCCTTGGAGCTGTATTGTTGCTATGGTAGCCTTGATTGTTAGAAAAACAAACATAGTTTGATTACAGTTTATTGGGGATTTTTGAACATCGATTTCAAGGAAACAAACAGAAAAGTGTAGAAGCTATTATCCATAAAAAAAGAATAGGTTTTTTCCAAATAAAGAAACCATTTGAACCTTAACAAACTTTGAATCCAGACTCATTTGACCCCAGCCTCTCGCAACCATCGATTCCCAGTAAACGGACGAATTTTCTTAGTTCAGGATAAAACTGATTTAGATAGTCTTTCAAATTCTGGTGCAAATCCTAGTTGCCATCCTTGTCCCTAACTTTATTAATATTATTACCTGTTATGAACAAAATCAAGAAATGCTTCAACATTTTGCTAAATAATTTCATATCATAAAGAAACGAATATTTTTAGCTATTCGTAGAGTTGTTTTTACCACCAACGAACATTCTGAAATTTTCAAAAATAGTGCATATCATAAATTTGTTTTACCGTTTTTTTATTATTGTTATTATTACTTTTTTCTATTCATTTATTTATTTATGGAACAATCAGCATTGTAAAATGAAAAGATATCAAGTAGGAATCAATAGCATAAACCAGGTAAGAGAAGGAGCCTTCACATAGTTTTAAGGGGTATTGTAGGAAGCGGGGAATTGAGGGAACTAAAAAAAAAAATAATGAATAACAACAAAACGGAAGCTGAAGCTACGCTGACGAAGCAGTCCACTATAAGTGTGAAACAGGAGTTTTAAACAATACAGTTCACGAAAAAATCATCTAAAAGATTCCATTTAGGTTCGATGGTCTGTAACTTTCGAACTTTCGTCGGCCATTTCATTTCACTGATTTGGCTGAAATTTGGCATGGTCCTGTTTTAGGGTCCTAATTGAGAAATTGATACAAAAAAGTTCTGATTATTTTTGCTTACCGAAAAAACTGCAAATCACACCTGGTCTGCCCGTACTTGCCCACCAATATGGCGGATCGAGGGTGATCTTTGACTTCAACTCGAGTTCTATCGTAAAGATTCCTTAACATTTCATGATATTCCCCTCCTTTTAAAAATATGGCAAATATCTAGTGTTAACAAAATTTTATCTCAACGTTGTAAGGTCGTTTCAGGCCGCCTTGAACAATAACAAAATTTACCCCAACTTAATAACCTAATATCTCCAGTGTTGCCTCGATTCAAATGTTACCATTAATTATGACCAATGTTTGTTCATAGGCGAACAGATTTCACTAATAAAAAAATAGAGATAATGTCTTTGTCGAGGAAAAAATATATCAGCCCGTAATGACCTAGCTATGTTTGGGACCTGGTCCTAAGAGCTCCTAGATCAATTCGCCGATCAAAAGAAAACGGTTTAAATACACCTTTCGTTCAGATCGTTTCCTAGTAATTTGGAAATATGTTCCTTCTTAATAAAAACTTAACGATGTGGAAGCGAAATTGTTGCAACGGGATGATTTTTACTCACTAATTGAATTTAAACAGGCGCTCCTGCTTTAACCAAGACATGCGCAATTACGCTTAGTAGAGTTTATTTTGCCTGCCGTTTTGAGAAACATTCTCATCAACTCTGATATACTTTTGCTGATAGCAGGTAGTCATTTATTTGAATTAAATCCTTGCAAGCTTAAGATAAATGGTACGGTAAATACAAATTTATGACCTAAGGAATGACCTAAAATGACCTAAAATGACCTTGAGTGATTTCAAAAATGACCTTAAAAAGCCTAGTATGACCTTGTAAGATGTGAACGATACGGTGTCGACAAAATCTGAATCGGACCGGCCGGAGCGGATCGGATTGTTCATTTTGGTTTGCGGATTTTACGTGGTTTAGCATTTGCTTTTTGTCAAAAATTCAAATGCTTTTTTTAAAAATTTTTTCTGCTTTTTTTTTTTTTCGATCTGAGCGGCAATTAAGCGCCTCCACTGATCTCGAACAGCCGCGAAACGCAAATGTTATTGAGAGGAATACGTGACAAACCAAATGTCGCTTAAATATCAGGTGTGGTTTCTTGAGGTTTGCTATATACCATCGCGTCGAGCGTGTGCATATCCCTTTCATGGTGTACTCGAGACATAAAGACTCGATTACAAGGCTTTAACATCGTTGATGCGAAATTCAGTTAATAGCTAGAGCAGGTACTGAGGCTTCTTTTATGCTAATGCATCGATCAATTCGAAGTTTCAAATTTACTCACCCCCCCCCCCCCCCCCCCCGGCATTTGAACTTTTGAAAATTCTCGCCCCGAAAAGAAGACAAAATGTGGTTTCAACCAAAGTGTAATGGAATCCGATGTATATACCAGACACTGTTACGGTGTTTAAACTCGTGATTAAATCAGCGGTCTGCACGGTCAATGGCATGTAACTTTTTTAGTCACGGGCTGGAATATTTTAAAAATTGATGTAATTTACATTTATTTTTTATTTCAAGGTATCTTCAGTTTGATACCGAAAAAGGACGAAATTACAATATGCCCACGTCACCGAGAGGCTTAAGGCACACATTGGGTGTGTAGGAGAAAAAGGTGGTCCATGCCCCCAAAGTGGCCACACAAACAGACTACCACCAAAAGGAAACAGAGGGCTTTCTCTAGGGCAAGCCAAAGTTCTTTATCAAGAGTTGACTCTCATTATTTCTATTAGCATCCTTAAGTTTACTCTTGATCTGCCGAAAACTAAATAAATGAAGATTTCGTCGTAATTGGGAGTTAACATGTTTAATTGATGCTTTTTTTATCGCTGTAGAGGATGCTGTCACGAGGCTAGCAAATATTCAGTTTTTTTCCTTGTCTCACCGAGAGAAAATGAGGATGTAGATGATATTTTGACAGTGATTCTATAAACACATATTTCTCTCCTTTACTATACAGCTATTTGCAGGGAATGCAGGAAAAGAGTAGGATTGCTACCGAACAGAGGGCGAAGTGAAGAAGACTAATTTGAGAAAGGTGGTGGTCGTACTGATAACGATGACGATGAGATGTTGGTGATGTTAATATCAGTTTTACTGAGTATGATAGCCGTGGTGCTGATAACGACAACAATGGGAGGAGTGCCAAAGATGTTGGCGATCTCAATATCAGTTTTAACGAGGATGATGAGGGCCGTGCTGATAACGAGGACGATGTGAGGTGCCAAAGATATTGGCGATGTTGATGTCAGTAAAAACGAGAATGATCGTGTAAATACTGTTAACGATGACAATAGGAGCGATGAAGACAAGAACACTGATAACGCTTTAGAACCTGACAAATCATAGCAAACAGGACATGTAAGTAAAAACTACCCCTTTGTTTGATGTCCATGTTATGATGATCCTTTAACAAAAGTAATTACAAATCAGGTTAGGTTTTAATGCCAGTAAAGCACGGTATACTTAAAGAAGAATTAATCGATCAACATGGTGTTACTTTTAATTTTGAACAAAAAAAAACATGAAGATAAAAGCCAAGAAAGTGTACTGTTCCTCAATCTATGTGATTGATTACTTCTATTCACGGGTCCCACTTTCTCCTGAGGTAGACAGAAGTACCACCGGATGGCATTCCTTTAAAGAACGACAAAGTCTTGCAGCAGATACAGAGAGACATTTTGTCGAGAGCTTCCGGAAACAGGAGTTGAACGAATTCCTCAGTATTTGCGGAGTAACCCCAGTTACAATGATGGACACAGGCCTGCAGTCAGCAATGGAGTGAACCAAAAGAAGAAACATCACCGAAGCAAGCGGCGCTATGGTTGCAATTTTGCAGACTTTGTCTCCAAGGCATCATAGTGAGTTATGGGACGAGTTAGGAAGATCCGAAAATTTGTGTGAAGCATTCAACACCGCCAAGACAAACAAGTTTGGGTCATCACAGAGTGTTATTAAGTATCTTCCTTGCAGAAGAGCAACGCCAGGTAAAACCGTCCGAAAACAAATTATTTCTATAATGGTGGATGTTTTCACTTATGAAGAAATACGACCGTTCATCCCTGGCCTCACAAAATACACGTTTTGCGAGGTAAGGAAGTACAGCTCAAATCATGGGTGTGGGACGCTCGTGGCACTAAAATCGGTTCCTCGTTGTAAAACTGATCAGGCAGGTAATTTTCTGAGTTTTCTCACTAGCCCCTCCATCGTGCAAGACTTTCCCTTTAGTGAAAAGGTTCTGAAACTGTTATCCGGGGAAGTAGTGCAGACGCCAAATGTTATCAGGATGTCGGTCAACGAGCGCATTATTAAACAGTATCTACAAAACTGTGAGGAGAGCGGGACAGACTCCCTTAGTAGCAGCACACTTCCAAGAATTTTAACAGCGTGTAAAGCATCAACAACAACATCCCTTCAAGGCCTTGATTGAATTCGTAAGAGTCTCTTTTATATATTTTTTGTTCTCAAAACGGTAAGCAAAATCAATCCCTCCGAGTGTTTATGGCAAATCGATTGTTTACACTATTCCAAGTAAATGGCAATTTCTGGATTGGGGCACTGGGTAACATTGGAGATATCAGGATAACAAGTTGGGGTAAAATTTTCAAGACGGCGCAAAACGTCCTTCGAACTTTGAGATAACTTGTCATCAAAATATGTCATTTCCCACATTTTTCCAATAAATGTAAAGAAAAGGGGTAGATTTTTTATCAATTTCAAGAGATGTTAAAAAATCTTTACGACAGGACTCGAGTTGAAGTCGTAAGAACACCTTCGATACGCCATGTTGCCGACCAAGTATGGCAGACTAGGCCGGCTTTATCGATAATTTCCCAAGCAAAAACAATTGCAACTTTTTAATACCCATTTCGTGGTTAGACGCTGAAATCACCCTTCCGACCAAATTTCAGCCGAATCGGTGTTGTTGAGAGGTTGCGATTTTTTGAAAAAGCTCGTAATTTACAGACTATTGCTCTCAAAAATCTATTTTTTTTCTACAAAAACAGTTCAATTTTTCCTTTTTTTGATACTATTCATCTTCAATGTAAATTTAACTCACGCTCTATTTCTTTCTCAAACAATTTTGTGTTTTCCACAATAGCCTATATTTCGATAGATCAATAGTTTTCCTTTGTATGTTTAAGAAAACTAGCAAAATTAATCAAATTTTGCGGAAAAAATTTAAAAAGATTAAAAATATTTTCCTCTGCATCATTAACATTTTCGTAAAAAACTCTGTGTCGGAAATGAGAATAAAGAATCTGCTATGTTCCGAAACTTCACGTTTCATTTAAAAAATCAACTTGATCTTTCCTCTCCCGTCTCATGCTCTGGTCTCTCTCATTTTTAAAGATATAATATGATCCTGTTGTTCAATTATCTGACACTTATCGCAAAAAATCAACCGAAAATCAATTAATGCTGAATAATCTCTCACAAGAAAAACACTAGAATGGCACACTCGATAAAAATTGAAATTCAATGAACGAGATGGAAAGTTAGTCCAGTATATCAGTTCAGTGTTCCTAAATATCTCTAATCAGTATCAATGTGTGAATGGGATGAGGAGCGGCTACCGCTGCATCCCTCCTGGGCCTGAATGTCGGGGCTTCGGGGTTGAGTTGCGGAGGAGTCTGTACATTCTCCCGATCGCAGGAAAGCTCCAGTGGGTAAAGGTGTTGTACTGCCTGTTCGAGTGTTCTTTTCCCCGCTCGAAGTTTGGCAGCGCGAACGATTCCGTCTCGTCCCGAAATCAGGTCTTCCACGAATCATTTAATCATCGAATTCCATTTATTGCGATTGCGTTCCTCGTTCTCGATGATGACCACCTCCATTTGGCCAAGGGCGTGGTTTGACCCCTGTGTTTCATCCGGTGTCGTTCTCTCAAGCCTCGTAAATATTCGTCCACAAAGCCTACTTGCACCTTCGCAGATATTTAGCTCTTCTGCGCGGATCAAATTCTCTTAGATGGTGTGGTTTCAGTTCTGGTAGCTGGTTTGATCGAAGAAATAGTAGTGAGTTAGGGGTAAGCACGGGTAACTGTATGTCGTCTTCGACGTAACATAAAGGGCGAATATTCAAAGCAATCTCCACATCCAGTACCACTTCACACAGCTCTGTCCAGGTCAACATTCCGCATCCGATAGTCTTGTTTAAAGCTGTTTTGACCAGTTCGATGAGGCGCTCAAACTGTCCTCCCCACAAAGCGGCGCGGCTGAGGTTGAATTGCCACTTGATGTTCTCATGTGGTAGGTAGTTTTGTGTCTTCTCGTCACGCATAACTTGTTTGAGCCACTTTTCGGCGCCAACAAAGGTTTTGCCATTGTCGGAATATATCTTCTCCGGCGCCTGCGGCGCGCGATGAGCCGTTTTAAACTTCTTAGGAATTCACTGGTCGCCAGGTTTGGTAGTACTTCCAGGAATAATCCTTGTTTAAGACTGCATGCGCACAATGCAAGATAGGCCTTTCCTTCTGTTTTGGCTCTGATATGGTACTTGATGGGCCCTGCAAAATCAACTCCGCACTGCGAATGGGGTGCTCCCCTCTGTGCGGTCAGTGGATAGAAGTCCAGGAGGCGTTGCCGGCGCCAGTGCCATAGCCTGAAACCGCTTGCAGCCTGAACACGCCTTGAGAACTTATTCTACGAGTGCCCTTAAACGCGGTACCCAGTATAGCTCTCGCACTTTGGTCATGGTAAGGGTCACTCCTCCGTGCGGTGTGTCGACATGTGATCGGTGAACTAATTTGCGAGTGAAGGGCAAGGGGTCTGGTAAAAATATGGGGTAATGGCCTTGAATTCTTCCTCTGCACTCTAAAAAATTCCCTCTTGGTTTCCTTGCACATTCAACTGTAAACGGTCTTGAAATTTCTCGCTCGAATTTGCTTGTTGTTGAGCTCGCTTGATCCAGAACGTTGTCTGTTTCTGTATTTCTTCAGTTATAAGGCGACCAACGACTCTCTGTTTCCGGACGGTTCTTATGTTGTGCAGGAATCTCCCGATCCAGGCACCCACTCGCAACACACGCCACAGCTCGTGCTTTTCCAGCAGCTCATCGAAGACGTCTTTGTTCTCTGTTTTCTCTCTCGCGCGTTTGTTTCACTTCTCCCGCTTTTGATTCTTAAGTAGATGTCGTTAGAAGGTCTGGCGGCCGGTCCTGTGGTTTTGCTAACCAGCTTGGTCCTTGCCACCAAAGACCTGTCAATCTGCTAACATCTCCTCCCCGACTCCCCACGTCCGCTGGATTCTCCTCTGTTGGTACATGCCTCCAGTTGATTTGTTTTTCTTGGATCTTCCTCACTCGATTTCCCACGAACTGTTTGTGTCGCCATTTCCACGGTTCCGGTCCAGTGCTACCGTGCTACCCAGCCAACTATAAACACTTCTTACGGGAAAACCCTTGTACTAGGTTTGCAGCCATACGTCCAGCCACTAGTTCTAAACGAGGAATCGTGAGTCACAGAGAGGGTCGCGGGTGAAGCCAGACCGAGTGGATCGTAGATTTTTGCGAATTTTCCAAAGATGCCCCTTCTGTCGGCTCAGCGGTTGAAATCGGGAAGCTGACTTTAATTTCGTCCTTTTCTTTGTCCCAGGGGACTCCCAGCAGTTTTGATTCGCCCTTTCTGGTTCCCACTTGTCGTTTGGCGTAACTCTGACTTTCTTCATCTGAAGTCGCAGTTTCAACTTCTAACTTCTGATTGTTGGAATTCCACTTGTGCAGCTTGAAAGTCGCCTCACCTAAGATGGCTGTGGCTGTCATCTTTATTTCTAACGTTTGTTTTATTGTCTCCCCGCCACTGATTAAATCATCCACTAGTTCCGGGTTCACCATTTTGTATCGATGTAGATGTGCTTTGATAACTGCGGCCAAGAGGAATGGAGACGGTGCCAAACCAAAGAGTACTCGAGTGAATCGCAAGGTTTCTACCTGTTTGCTTGCCAGATCCTTTATTTAATGAAAGCGTAAGGCATCTCAGTCTTCTCTTCGGATGCGAACTTGCAAGAATGCTTGGTTTAAGTCGCCAGCTATTGCCACGGGATAGAACCTATTTAGTATCGGCACGTTCCAAAGCTGGTTCTGCAGTGGAGGGTCGATTTCGAGACACTCGTTGAGTGAGAGGACACTTGCATTTGCTCTTGCAGAAGCATCATAAACAATACGTATCTTTGTAGATTCTGCGTTCTCGCGCACGACCGCTTTATGAGAAATGTAGAACTCTCTTCCGTTCTGACCACCTCTTCAGCGCGTTCTACGATCCCTTGACTCAGTCGGGTCTGGATAATGTCGTTGTACCTCTCCAGCTCGCCTTGCATCTCTAACTTCCGTACAAGATTTTTGAGACGTTTTAAACTTCCTGTGTAATTGTTCGGTAGGGGAGGATGATTCCCTTTCCAGGGCAGGCTCGTCTCGTACCAGCCTTTTGAACTCCTGGTTAGTTGCTCTTTGAACTCTTCGTGAACGGTTTCCTGTTCTCCACTGGGATTGTCCTTTAGCCCCAGGACGTCTAACTTGCACAATTATTTGTAATCGATTGCGGAGGTCTGCGTTAAGAACATGTTGCTAAGATCCAACCCCGTTCCAGGTGACAAAATCGTCCAGCCGAACTCCGTATATTCTGCTACTGGTTCTCCCGAGCATCCAACTCTTGGTCTTGCCCCTGTTTTGATCTTAGCGTACTCG